GAGGTGGAAGTGCGAGTATTGGGACGGGGCCTGGGTCTCACACATAGACTGTATATATTAACGGACAGAGTCACGCCTATCTCCGCCGTTCTAACTAATGGGCCAAAAAATGTGCTCTACTGGAGCAATCCAAAATGGCCGCGAGTGGTCCCGCCCACAAAAAAATTGTGAAAAAAACGCATCTGCGGATGCGTCAGCTGGCGCATCTCCATTCATTTGAACGAGAGACTTCAAAAATTCACAGCAAGTAAACTAGAGTAGACCAAAAAAATTCACCCCCCTCAGCATTGACACACATGTGGAACGGAGCTTTGGGCCAAGAGCCAACTTTTGGTCCATCCTGTAAAGACGTTTTTGAGAGGTCACCTAATGCTATATGTTAGCATTGGCTGATTCTACTTCTGGGTCCACCTCCATGGCCCCGGGTGGTATTGCAAGCATGTCAGCGCACGTCATTTTGAGAAGGGTCTGTCTGCGGCTTGCAGTACGGAGGCGTGTCGAGTAGTAGGCGTGTCGGGTAGTGACGTCACTACCCGACACGCCTACTACACAAATTTTGAATCCACTTGAACTTCTGCAAGTATATCCGTTGAAGAGAAGACATGGCAGACCGTACGCAAACAGTAAGTGTCAACCAACAACGTGTTTTATTTATTTTTAGGCCGTCCCTCAAGTTACAGTGTATTAATGAATAAATGCACATCACCCTGACTAGAAATGTTTTTTAAGAAGTGAACTAATACATTGCAGAGAAAGCAATTCGTATGGGTTTCTTCTAAGAGTCCATGTGCCATCGACATGTCAGGTACATAGTATAATAGGTACATAGTATAATATATACAATATAATATTGCCCAAGTCATTTTGCATCGTTAAAATGGCAATAAGGGGAAAAACATAACTCTTTACATGTTTTCCAAGAACAGTGGAGAATTAGTTAGGCAATTATGTGATGTAGCTCACGATGTTTCCTATCACAGTTACAGAAGTCACTGACCATAGTTCTTGGATGATGTTTCAAGATATTTGTGTTTCTGAGTGTGCACAAATGGATGTTTATGTCTGCTTTCAGTTGCATCCGACTATTGTCAGTGATGGGAATCATGCTCCAGTGCTGAAGCAGGGGAACACGCTCACGTGTGTAACCTGTTTTAAACATGGCGGAGAAGCACAAATGCTCACACACGTGCAAACCCATGAAAGGGCATCTGTTTGTCATGGAGGTATGTTTTAACTTCGAATCCAGGTGTTGTGCAATATTGTAAATTTGTTCTTTAAAGTGATTGTCTAGAGTTTGTCAGAAAGAGAGACAGAGAGGTACTTGATTTGAAAAAAAAAACGACCCAAGCTCCCTCCCCCTTCCTTTCTGATTGGTCTACACGCTCTTACCGGAAGTATAGCATGATTTATATAATTTTCGTTTTACATTAGTAGGCCCGAGCGCCACCAGGCTGGCACAGGGACTATTGTAATGAAAGTGTGCATAAAACACTGATCCCCCTCAAACATAAACATCTCATGGTACATGTTTCCTGGACGTACACTGTACTAAAAACTCTGCATTGCAACATTGTTGATGTACAGAGACCATAAAGTCATAAGTGCAAGTCACTGACAATATATTTAACAGGATACAACACCTTTTAGGGCTGCATTTGGTTTTGTGAACTGTTGTTGTTGAATGTAACACATTTTACTCTTATCTAGGTGACAGTTCACACTCTGGCCGAGGCATTTCACCTGCCTCAGCAAGAGGCAATTGGAAAATTCATAAAGGGGCCAAAGTATGAACCATGGTAAGATTATTTACAGTGCCTTGCGAAAGTATTCGGCCCCCTTGAACCTTTCAACATTTTGCCACATTTCAGTCTTCAAACATAAAGATATAAAATGTTAATTTTTTGTCATGAATCAACAACAAGTGGGATACAATCCTGAAGTGGAACAACATTTATTGGATAATTTAAACTTAAAAAAAAAATTAAAAACTGAAAAGTGGGGCGTGCAATATTATTGGGCCCCTTTACTTTCAGTGCAGCAAACTCACTCCAGAAGTTCAGTGAGGATCTTTGAATGATCCAATGTTGTCCTAAATGACTGATGATGATAAATAGAATGCACCTGTGTGTAATCAAGTCTCCGTATAAATGCACCTGCTCTTTAATAGTCTCAGGGTTCTGTTTAAAGCGCAGAGAGAACCATGAAGACAAAGGAACACACCAGGCAGGTCCGAGATACTGTTGTGGAGAAGTTTAAAGCCGGATTTGGATACAAAAAGATTTCCCAAGCTTTAAACATCTCAAGGAGCACTGTGCAAGCAATTATATTGAAATGGAAGGAGTATCAGACCACTGCAAATCTACCAAGACCCGGCCGTCCCTCCAAACTTTCATCTCAAACAAGGAGAAGACTGATCAGAGATGCAGTCAAGAGGCCCATGATTGCTCTAGATGAACTGCAGATAACTACAGTCTACAACTACATTCGGATACAGCCCTGGAGATTTTGGCCACTTTTGAGCTGGGACCCGCCCCCACTGATCTCACACCGAGTCTCATGCACGTGAGACCCGCCCTCTGACCAATCAGAGCAGTTCATCAGAGCGGAAGTTAGACCGAGAGCCAGACGAGCAGAGTTTGTGGCACTAAAGTGTGGATTTAAACAAAACCCAAGGATTTAAGAAGAAAAAAAGTTCAGAATGACAAGGGACACTAAAATCCCCGCATAATCCGATCTTTATGAAAGCTGTAGGTTCTCTGTCAGCTGAGGTTGAGCTGTTTTAATATGCATTGAGTTCTATGGGGAACATTTCTGGGTAGCCCACGTGAATTTAGTCTGGTTCAGTCTGCAGTACCGCGAGAATCCCCCAAGCACGTGAGGGATTCAGCTACAAGCTAGTAATACCCTATCCAGTTATTATAATAGATCCATGCACCCTACGCGCGAGACTGGAAGTGCAAGTATTGGGACGGGGCCTTAATATATACAGTCCATGGTCTCTCCATATCCATGGTCTGTCCGTGTTGTAGATCCATAGAACTAAACCCCTTTTAAAACGATGTAACGCTATGCATATATGTGTCTGTTATTTAGAATTGTGAACTTGTGTCTGCGCAGACTTTGAAATAAGAGAAATTCCTCATTCGTAAGAGAGCACACAAAGTATACAAGTAGCTGCAATTCTTCGACTGCGTCAGACCAAAGGGCTATGACATCTATGGGCCAGAGACAAGTCCATAAACTGTCCACAAATCTTATTAGTCCCATACTATCACTATATTTCTATGCGACAAGTCTTAGATCTAATAATTTTCCAGGATAACATCTCTGCATGGATCTTGATCAAGCAGAAATTCCTTCCCTCACATAAAAAGGCCATGATCGTGTATACACATATGCAAATTTACTAAAAAGAGAAAAGCAATCACAGAATGAAATATGCAACATTTTCTTCTCAACATGGCAACACTGTTACTCATTTATGGCCCCATCATATTTATATTATAAACGAGTATAGGCTACTACTCTATAATAGGTCCATGAGGCTACTACCTAAAGAGGTAAACACAAGGCTATTTGTAAACAAACTTGGGCCATTTTGTGCAATTATCATCTTAAATCAACAAATATATTTGAGAATACTCAATGGAAGAGTCTGATTATACACAAATCCATTTATTTTATGTACAATATGTAAACAATAACATATAAAACAGACATGCTCACAAATCAATGTACAACCAAACTGCAACCTCTAGCACAGGCAGACTTTGAGTGAGCTGAGGAGAGCGCCGCGGACATTCAGTCAAGTTTTTACTTTTTCTCAAATAAATTTTGGACATGTAGAAATATGATATAGTTCAACGTACTATAAAACATACACTATAAATATTGTTTTGTATTTTCTTACAAAAATGTACAGTTTACATCTTAATTATTTTATAGTCACACATATGTCTGTATACTTGTCATCTGGAACTACAATACAAAACTGGTAAATGCAATGAAGGTTGTAAACAGTGTTAAACTCAATATACCTAACCACTGCTTTAAACCATTCTTTGAAATTGCATAACTTAAGAATGAAATGGCACCGTGATAATGAACAGCTTAAGATGCTATTTTAACCCAAATTGTCAATGATGACAAAATAATATCAACATAGTGCTGTAGAGGAGCACTACATTTTATGCTCAAGATTTTACAATCTTGTCTTTAAGAGAAAGTATGTTAGCGCCACCACAAACTAAAACAGACTCACGTTTTGAACATTTTACTTTCACAGGGAATCCACTTGACTTTAAGACACCGTCTAAGATCAAATGTCCAATCACAACTTTAAAGGAATGGAAAAAAAACAATTGATTTGTCACAGAAGTGCAGGGTGTTGTTTACAGTTCCAACACCTGTGGTTCACTACAAAAAGCACAAACTAAAATGACTTGATCAGAATATTTGAATTGAGCATTTTTGAATAGTAGGTGTTAATGTACCCGTTTCATCATAAGTCTACTGACTTCAATATATTGTCCTTTTTAACTTGCTATGGCCAGTCCAAAGGGCTGTTGTAATTTAGACAAGACGCTACAGAAATCTCATCACACTCATGTGGGAATGTGAAGATAGCGGTTGGAAACTGTTCCATGCAAATATCTTTACATTCTTTGTCATGCAGCTTAATTAAAAAGGTAAATTAAACAAATACAGTATTTCTCTTCACCATTCTTATGTTCTAATAATGTGCTCTTGGAGGAAAAAATATATGTACATGAGTGCAAGTGATGTGCCTAATGTATTTTGTGAGTGCCACCAATAATCCATCATTTAAACATAGGGAAAACAAAATCACCAGTTGCAGAATTGCATTGAATCATGTTAAATTATCTGGTAGAACTTGTCAAAGATGCCCAAATCAACATTAATTGTGTGATTTCAAGTCATTTTACTTTTGTATAGTATTCTTGCAGCGTTTTTTCAGTCAGTCTCTGAGGGACAAAGTGTTAGGTCACTGTAACAGCAGCTCCATCTTTGTTTTTTTCTCCACACGAGGGAGATATGCTCTTCTCTGCCCCCCCTCCTGGTGCAGGGGGCAGGGTCTGAGCGGCTGGGGAAAGTCCTGAAGATTTAAGGGAAGGGTCTGAACTGGACTCTGCCTCGGGCTCCTGTTGTGACGCTGTGGCTGGAGAAAAAAAGGACACAAGTGTAAATATTTTTGCTTCTTTGGATTAATTAATTTCTACATTGGATAAAGAAAAAAGAATTAGCTCATACTGTCACAATAACACATTGAGGACCTTGACAATAGTATTGGACGGGAGATTGACCAATTGGATCAATATGAGGTTATTGATATGCTATCATGGAATGTTATAACTAATTTTAAATTCAATATAAATCAGGGAAATACAGAATATTTTATTTTGAAACTGAACTCATATTCAACCCCATATTAAATAAAAGTAATAATTTATTTAAAAATACCTCCATAATGTAAAAAGACAAAAATAATCTCAGATAAAAAGAAGATTTGCAATAAACAGACCTTCACAAAGATATATATATTTAGTATTCTTCTTAAGAGTGTATTCCCATCATTATACATGAAACAATTATATAAAAACCTCTAAAAGGTCTAATTGCCAACACGCAAAGAAAATGTGGCTAGTCAAACTTAAAAAAAAAAAAAAAAAAAAAACATGTTTAATTGTTACTTATGAGGGGATATCTCAATTATTCAAAGTAATGTCTTATGAACAAATTCAACAACCTAGCTCAAAGTTTAAATTATAATCGCCATGATCATAAATATGTGTAATTAGATGTTTAATCAGAATTACATAAATCTTCAGAAGGGAGACTAGGCTTCAGATGTTGCCTCGTACCGGACTGTGTGCAGGACTTCATGTGCTCGGGCCAGTGTGCCTGCTGGCAGGGGTAGTCGCAGTAGCTGGTGTTCCAGCAGCAGTAGAAAATGGCCTCCTTCCTGCAGTTTGCGCACCACTGCTTCTTTTTGGTCTCGTCGATGACCTGCTGCTTCTCCACCTCCATCTGCTTCTTCACCTCCGCCACCAACCGGTCCCTCTCCTGCTCCAGGCTTTGTCGCATTTCTGCCATGGTTAGTTCTGCAGGACAGACAGCACAAAACACATCTTAAATACGGGGGAGATCATTTGGGTAATCATATTGCAGTCAGTAAATTCCAACTGAAACTCCAGCAACAGGTATTTGCAATGTTGTGTGAAGCATTCTTTAAAAACGTTACATTATCATATGCATTTTATGTGTATTTTTTATGGAAATAATTGACTAATTTAGTTATCTATTACCTAATGTCTAATGGCCTCAAACAAAGCTTTTATTTTAAGTTCATTAGGTCAGGTACGTAAGCAGTACTAGTGTCCACATCTTACTTATCACTCAAGTCTATTCATTTTTCTAGGCGCCAGTAGACCGGTCATAACAGATCTATTTAAGAAGTGACCGGACTGAGGTGACTCAAAGTGTTTTATCTATTTTTTGATAGACAAAGTACACGTCATTCAAAACAACTATTGTTGCAAGAATTAAGCATCTTAACCATAGTCTTAGAAGGTTCGCACTCACACTTGGGATTCACTTCTCCAGAGATCACAAAGTGGCAGGGGAATGAGAGTGTCTGCTTCCTTAACGTGGATGGGAAGCTGATTCCAGACTTTAGGAACCACCAGACGTCTGGCGTTTTGCAAGCGCAGTGCTCGGCTTGGTTGGTATGACACTAACGTATAACGTATTAAAAGAAGGATTTTAAATGTTATTCTGTATTCCACAAGAAGCCAGTGGAGTGATTTTAAGTCATGTACTTCCTCCTTTTGGCACCTGTTAAGATCCTTGCCGCTGTATTTTGAACATGCTGAAAGCACTTTAAAGAGGATTTACAGCACGCTGAAAAGCGTTACAGTAGTAACGCTTTTGAGATGACAAAAGCGTGGATATTCCTGATTCTAGCGATGTTCCGCAGGTGGAAATATGCCGTTTTAGTTGCTTGGTTTATATATGCCTTGACATTGGTTAGTGAGCCAGAAGTTTAATTTTCAATGTAGGTCAATAGGAGCCAGAAAGCGTCTAATGCAAAACGTCGTCCATGAGCACCTCCTTCCACAGAGCTTCATTGAGCTAGGGCCAGCATTGTCCATCTACAGCAGGGGTGCTCACACTTTTTCAGCATGCGAGCTACTTATAAAAGGATCAAGTCAAAATGATCTACCTACTACAAAAATGCAAATCATATATTTATTTCAAAAAATATTCTTTATATCTACAATGTATGTTTATGTACATTTAAAACCGCATGAGCCAATATAGCACAACACAACACAATTACCTATGTACATTTTTTGTCATTACCCGAGTTTACTCTGATGACTTTCACTGAATTGAATCGGCCAGGGATGCATAGTCCGGAAAATAGGTGGTAACTCGCTGACAAGTTTGTCGTGGTTTAGCTTTCCTGCACTGAGCGCGGTTGTTTGCGCATGTGCAGTCACCTAAGTGTCAGTAAAACATTACTGAGTAAAACACAGATGTCATTTGACTGTGGTGCCATGTCCATGTGCCATGCCTGTTTTTTTTAAATCCAAATATTTCCCCTCCTCAGTTTATAAAATAATTTGCATCCACACATCTGCGTTATCAATCACATTCGTAACATTCCAAACATGTGCGTCTCTTACGTCCTGTCCTGCGTTGGGGAAAAACACGGAAGTGGGCGGAGCTTTGATGCAGCCGCCGGTAACGGCACTTTTACAGTCATAGAAGACACTCAGAGTAAAGACGTATGTTTACAAGCACTGCCCCCGTCCTCAGCCCTGGTTTAGTCCTGGTTTAGTCCTGGTTTAGTCCTGGTTTGGTTGTTTTCGAGCGTGAGTCCCCGCGATCACTTTGCTGCTCTCTGATGTGGAGGATGTTCGCTGCTGCGAGCATCTCACAGCGAACAGTTTTTAAGGTAGTATGATCTAGTGATGTGCTGAGCGGACCGAGTCTTCGAAGCGTGGACCGAGTAATCTGGGGGCGTTTCTTGTGAAGTGTGGGTCGAGGCGTGTATTGGTCACGTGTGTGATGACGTTCGAAGCCTCGCGAACGGCCGTACCACGTGACTGATTCAGGAAATGATTCGTTGGTTTGGAGCGCGGTTCGAAATAAAAGGGACGAGTGAACGCAATGGATTCCCCTTCATCACTTTGTGTGTTTTTGGGTTATTGCGCTTCTCATTTGGCATCCTATTTGAGCTTCTTTTTTGCGATGGAACCGGCAAGAAAGAGAAGATTTTCTCCAGTTTGGGAGCACTTTGAGCAGATCTCACCTAGTAAGGTAAGGCATATCAATAATTCTGTAATAATAGATTACACAAATATGACAACACATAATTTCTCTTGCTCACTTTTCTCTGTTATAAATACGTTTGAATAATAGTTTTTTCAATTGCAGGTGAAGTGTCTGTTATGCTCCAAACAACTGGGTTATAATAATAACACCTCAGCTATGCTAAGGCACTATCGTGCCTTGCATAGCATTGTGGATTCCAACCCAGGTGAACCTGTCTCGGGTAGGCCATTTTATATCATGATAATAATTGATGATTGTCCTACAATTACACTAAATATATTTTATTTGAATGTATTTGTTCATTAGATACATTTCTAACCCTAATGTGCATTTTCTTTCAGCTGAGATGGTTGACTTGACTGAGGCGTTGGTGGATATGGTGATTGAGGATTCCCAGCCCTTTTCCATTGTGGAGGGAACTGGCTTCCGAAAGCTTGTGAAAGCTTTGGCACCATCTTGTGTTCTTCCCACGCGGCAGGTATTTATGTGAACTATTAACAATTTATTATCCTCAGATCCACTATTTCAAGACTTTACTTTTTTCAGACTTTGAAAGCCATGGTGGAGAAGAGATACAGGGAAGCCAAAGACAAGGCCAAAGTGGTGGTGTCTTCTGCATCTGCTGTTAGTTTAACAGCAGACATGTGGACCTCCATCAACACTGATGCCTATCTTGCAGTGACTGGTCATTTTATTGACGAGAGCACTTCTCTGCAGACTGTTGTCCTTGGGGTGCAGCATTTCCCTGAGGCACATACAGCAGCAAATCTAGCGAGAGTGATGACCTCTCTTATGTCAGAGTGGGGTTTAGCAGGAAAGGTGACATGTCTGGTGACTGATGGTGCTGCGAATATGGGAGCTTGTGCTCGAGAGCTGCATCTGCGTCATACAATTTGTGTGGCACACACGCTTAACTTAATGATCAAAAAAGCTCTCAACCAAAGTCCTGTGTTGTGTGACATCAGGACAAACTGTCGTAAGATAGTAGGATACTTTAAGAGCAGCACTACTGCAAAGGTAAGGTCCTTACTTGTAATATGTCAATTATTATTTCTGCTCCTGCACTGTTTTAATATGTTGACTGTTTTATAGGAGAGACTTACACAGATCCAATCACAAATGGGTCTCTCCGTGCTTAAACTTATTCAAGAGGTGGATACAAGATGGAACAGCACATACTTAATGCTTCAGCGTCTGTTCAACCTGAGAGAGCCTGTTGGAGCAGCTTTGGCTGGGCTCCGTACAGACATTACACAAATCTCAGCAGAACAATATAACATCATTGCAGACTGTCTGAAGGTGCTCGCTCCGTTCTACTATGCCACAATTGAGGTGTCCGAGGAGAAAAGTGTCTCTGGGTCAAAAGTAGTTCCACTTTTGACCATTCTCCATAATGCTCTGGAAGAAGAGGAGATCGGCCATATCCAAACACCTGAGAGCAGAGACATGGCTGAGTATTTGCGAAGCCAACTGAGGGACAAGCTCAGCCACCTCCAATCAATGAGCATCATGTCCCTCTCTACCTTGCTTGATCCCAGATTTAAAAAGATTGGATTCTTCAACCCCAATAAGGCAGCAGAAGCTGAAAAAAGATTGATTGACGAATGTGCTCGAGTTTTGAGACGTTCATTGTCCGCTTCTGCTTCATCATCATCATCATCATCATCATCACCACCTTCATCATCTGTAGCTGAAGGTAATATGTATACTCTATTTGTGCTAATAAGTCACTCATAACCTGTTTATTCTGTTTTAGGGAGCAAACTGTGGCAACGTTTTGACACGACATGCCAGCAGACCAAAACCCCAAACATAACTGCCAACGCTACAGTGGAGGTCCAAACATACCTGGGGGAGCCAAATATTCCTCGACTCGAAAGTCCCCTTCAATATTGGGACAAACATAAGTTTACATTTCCAAATTTATATAAACTTGCTATTACATATTTATGTTCACCTGCATCCTCTGTGCCCTGTGAACGGGTTTTTTCAAAGGCAGGTGAAATACTGTGCAAAAAAAGAAATCGCCTGAGTCCAAATACTCTTGAAAAATTATTATTTTTGAATAAAAATGAATAACTGTATTGTTTGTTTTTCAACTCCTGTCAATAGTTGCATAAGCACTTACATAAACAAAGTAACACAAGCACATTTTACATAACAACTGTCTCCACATCATTGGCTGTATTCTTTCAGCCCATGTTCAGACCCTACCATTTGTTATAGGCCCTTGGCATGTATTACATTTCTTTGTCCACATGATGGCGTAGTGGAGCATGCTTCACCGCGAGCCTTCGACTCATGGGCCGAGTAATAGGCTGCAAACCCTCAAGGCTTCATGGGGCTTCATATTGCCATCACTAGTATGATCCATGCTTCAGTGATCAGAGGAATTTAGGGGGGTACTGTGGCGTGCGAGAACGCAAAACTCTGGTTATCTCTGTCTACACACAAATGCATTAACGGAGTTTTCAAAAATCTCCACTTTGCCCGGAGTTTTTTGTATATATTAGTTTAGAATTTGTAATTTTTTATTTATTTAATGCGATCTACCAATACTACCTTTGCGATCGACTGGTAGATCGCGATCGACGTATTGAGCACCCCTGATCTACAGTATATACAGTCTATGATCTCAACCAAATCCTGCAAAGCCTTCGCTGCCCTACTTACACCTCAGCAGCCTCAACATCTAAAGCCTCAGGAGGCTCAAGTAACATAACTTCAACTTTGCTTTTTCAATCAACAGTTCAACACCTCTCCATTTGTTTTAATGGTCAAACATTTGTCTAAACAGCATGAATAACATGTTTGAAAAAATTGGTGGCATGTTTTTGTAAGAGTTTTGCCCATTCAAACACGTATCTCCATGTTGAATCTTTTGACATTACCAAACCTTACCCAAGTTATGCTTCATTTCTGCCAACTCCTGCTGATGTAACCACTGAAGCTTCTCGATTTCTATCCGCAACCGTCGAATCTGAAATTATGCACAAAAACCTATGAATGCGCTGCAGGGAAAGTGACAGATCTGCATTATGTGTTAGAACAGTCACCTCAGCAATAGTGTTTCCGGATGTACTTTTTGAGAGGTCATTGTAGATTTCAGTCATTGTTCCTTTGATTGAGTCCATCATCTGAAATACAAACAACATTTTCTAAATTGTAAAATGCTATAAAAGTTATGATGGCTGAAAGTAGTAATTGTGGGTTAATTAAAGTCTTCTGTAATATGAATTGGGCGACTAAAATAAACTGTATTAAACATTTTGTCGGTGTGTATTTTGACATACCTTATTTGTATACTTTGCTATGTCTGCTGCGACATCAGCTGAAACCGTTGGGATCTGCACTTCTCCGGACACGTACGAAGAACTGCTGCTGAGAGAATTTTGAGGGGTGTCTTTTTGTTGCCCTGTTAAAAATAAAAATAGTGTCAACATTTATTAATTGCATTTGCACGAAAAAATAAATAATCCCTGGCATGCAAATGCTACATTTTTAGTCCATTAACAGAGAACCTTTATGGTATTTGTATTGTGACAGTAGATGTAGATGCATAAAACAACTTTAGTGGCACTGAAATTAGTCCAAACCATCCATCCATATAGCAACATTTTATTATTTCAAGAGTATGAAGCAAATCGGATTGTCAAGAGCGTATGTTACACACGTTCTTGTTCCATACCAGATTATTATGATCTGGAAAGTCTGCTCAATTTGTTTCTATTTCATGAAATAGCACCACATGTACAACACTGATCAATATCCAGATGTTTGCTTGATGAGTTAGACCGACATGTTTAACTAAATTATCATAAAGGACAAAAGTGCCATTGGTTGGTTGGCCCATTACAGAACTTTACTCTGTTACAGTTGTCAAAAACAATGGCCTTTTCTTGGAAATAGAGAAAATTATAACAACAACCCCATAATACCAACTTTAAACTAAAAGACCTTCAATTAATAGATTTATCTAATCCAGCGTTTTTTAACTAGTGTGTTGTACGTTGGTGTGAGAAAATAATGTGAGATAATTAGAAAGATTTTTGCGCTTGTTTGATGTGCTATAATACACATCAATGAAAATGACTTAGCTTTGTTAAAAGGCTATAGTTTCAATTTGGTATGAAATTCAGTTGGTGGTGTGCCATGTGGTGTGCCACAGCTCAAAATGTTTGGAACACTGATCTAATATAATAAGATGTATTATTAGATTTAAGATTAACAAAAACCTGTGCTTGTCTTTCACTTATAGCTAAGATATCATGGACACTTTCCCCAAATAATCCAAACCTCATAATGTGTAATCCACATTATGAGAACAGTGTCTGGGAACCTCTTGAGGACAAAGACAGAGATATTGTCATCAGAATCATAGAGTGTTTGAACAGGAGGCTGAACATTATGAATTCCATGAAATATAACTCTTATGACTCTTATGGCAGTCTCATCGCATGGTCAGAACACATACCTTTAACCGCTTGCCGGGTCTGGTAACGCGTGCTGGAGGAGTTTTGGTGGCCCTGCAGATGCTGTGGACTACGAGTTTGAATTTGAGACTGTGCTGCAGACGTCTCTCCGTGCTGCTGCTGCTGCTGCTGCTTTGGGACTTTCTGTGCGTGATATTTTTGCGTCTGAACTTTTGTTGGTGTCCACACGACTGCTTGTTGCTGCGCTGGCTGTGGCGTAGTGTCTTTGGGAAGCAGGGGGCGTTGTTTCTTTAAGGGAGCAGGGGAAGGAGAGCATGCTGATGCAGGAGGAGGGGTGCTGGTTGAGTTGGTGGTGGTGGTACTGGAGGACAGGCCTGGTGCAGACGCTGTGGCCATGTTGAGGGCTGCTGCCAACACTGGCTGCAAAGAGTCTTTCTGACTGGAGGCTGAGGAAGCTGCAACACAGATTTGACAAAGCACAATGACAGATAGTAAAGAACAACCTGAATCGAGATTTTCTGCATGAGGCAACACAAGCATTTCAGTCTCAATCACATCATTTCCACTGCTGGCATGTTAGCCCTGTCATCATTTATTTATTCCCCCCATCAAATGTAAATTTGGGAGGTGGAAATTCACATGATGGTTAAAACCATACTATGTAACGGCAGCAGTTTCTGATGTTTTATTCTTGTTGTTTTTAGTTTGTACAATGTGTGAAATGTTTAGGGGATGTCCCTTAATAAAATACATCAATTGAACTATATAATGCATTAAATGCCATATAACATATTTTTCAGGATAGCCAAAGAAACAACATTTCCATTGGAACAAACAGAAGGTCTTTCTCTGGACAAGTAAAAGTCAGGCAGGTCTTATATTAGCTTCAAAATCAAATAAATACTTACTTTTAATTCATTAGCTACGAAGAAATGGGGATTGGAGACTTGTGAGTGATATATCTGGCTAACAGGATTTAGGTTTCGTAAAATATTTAACATTCTGAAAAGGTTGAGAGTCAAAAAGTTAACAAGAATAACGCATTGCATTGTGCATTTTGTCTGATTTACCTCAAGAATCTGTATTGTAAGCATAGAACTTTAATTTAGTTATTTTATTTATTTTATTTATTTATTGTTTATTTGGTTGGGACAGTACATGTTAATGAACACATCATTCCGGATTGTAGCCATGGGCTAATATGCATAGAACTTTGACATGAACTTTGACAGATTTTTCTCCCTACAAATATGAATATTGCTTTTTGTGGTAGTCAATTGTGAAATTAAAGTTCCTTTTTTTGTTTTAAACAAACTGAAACGTGGGGCATGCAAAAGTTCCTTAAGAAGATTTGTGATGACTGACAAATGGTCAAATGTTGACCCAGCTATAGAGTAGGGTCCACCTGAGAATCTAATCCCAGTATGATTACGGTCGTTCTATGATGACCTCAGTATGTGGAAGGAGGTGCTCTGATCAGATAAAAAAAATGAAATAAATTGGCTTTGAAAGGCTTAATAATCTTCTTCCTATTGTCATTCCAGTGTCTTACCTTCTGTTTTCACTGTAGCTTCTTTCTTGGCTGCTGCAGCATCTCTTCTTGCCCGTTTTGCGTCCCGTCCTCCATGCTCTTCCCCTAAATCGATCACCAGTTCCCTCTCAGAATCAGAGTCTTGTTCAGCTGTTTTTGTAGCCGTCTTCCCGTCTTCAGCCACTCTGCTTTTATCCAGAGGAGACAGCGGCGTCTTGGTTTTGTCCTGGGTGTCTGAATTGCTCACACTAACACTCTGCTTGTCTTCAGTTGTATTTTTCTCAGCAGTACCTGGCTGTTTACTGTCCCCTTCGTTGGTTGTTTTGGGCCTTTTTCGCTCCGGTTTGTCTTTGTGTTGAGTGGAGCTCTTTGGTTTGTGTTCTTCATCGCTCAGGTACTCGCTGTCACTCGAGTCTGATTTGTCCGAGTCCTCAGAGTCACTGTGGTCCACATCTTTGTAGACATCTTCAGAGATCTCATCTATTCCTGAAAACGAATAAAATAAACCCTTTAATTACCCATTTTGATATATAGCATGCAGGCCTTAATGGCCATTTATTTATTGTTCATTATTCATTCAAACAGACAGATATAGAAATAAAGGCAAAATTGGGAGAATGAATAAAGTTAAGAAATACTATTTCTATAAATATCTACCAAGAAAGCTTTTCTGTCCGTCTGGCATGGGACACCTAAAATTAGATGATTACAATAGTTTGAAATGGAATCTTGTTTCCACAAATTGTGATAAATGTGTGGTTTGTGAGTCCATGGCACCATTATATTAACTGTATAGGATATTACTAGCTTTAGCCTGTCTACAGCACATGCTCAGAGGCCAACACAGCAGACAAAATTATTAAGGGCAGAAGAAATGTTTTCCCCATGGGCCGCAATGTTAACAAAACCGGACCTTGCTCTTCTGAAGTTGCAGTCAGTGTGAGGTACGGGCAAAGAGTGGTTAAGCTGATCAGATAAGATTTCTCTTACAGAATGCATGTGGCTTTATATGGATACCTTTCAATAGAATCAGAAAGCCTTCACCTATGACCAGTTATTAATTGATTAACCACGGTTATTTAGCAATTGCTTGCAATGTTATCAGCGCACTACACCGGTTTATCACGGTGATACCGCAAAATGAACAATGGTGAATGAGTAATCGCGCTGTAACTAAAAAGGAGGTCGGTAAGTCTGACGGACTTGATAAGCCTGTGTTCGCTCAAACAGGAATCCGCAACCTGTGTTGCCGCAGCGTTCTGACCCGGAGCAACTGCGGCCGCTTAATAGTGAAAGACAGCGGTTCCGGATCCAGCAGCTGGGAGCCGCTTTGACAACACAGTTGAGACGTGGCCATAATGTGACCAGCACGGACTATAAACGCGGACAAGAGCAAGTGCATACCCGCAATATATACGCTGCCTTTATCGGTCTTCCTCTGTGTCTCCTGAAGCACTGAAACTATAACTTACTAAATTAAAGCTGGGGAACCTACATTTTATGCATGCAACCTACATGAATAATGCATGTTGGTGACTTGTGCCCAAAAGTAAAGACAAACTACACTCAGGTTTTCATACAAATACAATATAATCAGGGAGCTCAAAGAGTCAATTGTTGCCATTTGTTTTTGTTTTCTAGGAGTTTTATTGGTTAACTGAGAGAGTTTGTTTAAATGTCTTCCAGTTCCAGAACAGTGTTGTAAAAGTATTGGCATTTCAAGTGGTCTATATGCCGTTTTTAGGGCCTTTCTGAGTGGAGTTTGCATGTTCTCCCCGTGTCTGCGTAGGTTTCCTCCGGGCACTCCGGTTTCCCCCACCACTAAAAATATGTACAATAGGTCTGGCATGCGCCTCCTGTACTGGTGACCCCGCTCCCATCTCTGTGTGGAGTGAGAGGACAATTTCCCAAGAATAACAATTGTAAACCGCTTTGTGACTCTGGTCTGTGAAAGGCGGTGTATAAATAAAGATTACTTACTTACTTACTTACTTTAAAATGTATCGCACTATTATTTTTTATTGCCAACATTTCTGGGACAATAAATGGTCATGGAAAATGTGTTATCGTGACAGGCCTATGCGTGTAAACCAATCCGTTAATAGCTGTACAAAGTCCATCATTATCCACACAATAAACGATTAAAACCTTAACATTTTCTTAGTCCCTTTCAGAGTTATTTTTACCTAGCTGAGCCTTGCAGCTCTCAATAGTCTTGTCCAGGCTTCTCAGGGGTCGTTTGGGCGTAGCAGGAGTGAGCACTGCTCCCTGTTGTTGCTGCTGCTGCTGTTGGACTGTTTCACTCAGCTCCTTCAGGTCCATCTCTGCCTTCACTCGATCTGAAAACGGAATACATTCAGATTCAAATGACAAACCATGCACACACACACACACACACACACACACACACACACACACACACACACACACACACACACACACACACACACCCACACACACACACACACACACACACACACACACACACACACACACACACACACACACACACACACACACACACACACACACACACACACACACACACACACACACACACACACACACACACACACACACACACACAGCTATTTTGTCCTACTGACCGAGATTGAGATTGAGAATCCCCCCTGTGCCTGCCGTCCGCTCTTGTTTTGGTACTAAGCTCGGTTTTGGACTTCCTGTTGTGCTGCCTGCAGCACCCATCTTTCCAGACATAGGTGATGCTGCACACAAAAGAACAGATAATCACTGACTTACAGATGCCATGTTTCCCAAACTCAAATATAGTCTGCAGTATTTACAGTCCATTTCAACTGACATGAGATTTTCTACACAGGTCGTAGCCAGTCAAAATATACTGAAACATACTTCAAGCTCTTTGAATATTTCTTGCATTATCTAATGGCATTGCTATATACACACAATAATAAAACCTTTGTCATCATGCTCCATTTACCAATAGTGTTTTCTTTTATCACACCAACGTCACTTATTTCTACCTTTGTACTGGCTTTACATCGCCATTCAAACCCCCCTTTTGGACAAAAACAGGGACTAAAGCAAAAGCCAGTCATTACCTGTGCAGTCCATAGACTCCTCCCCAGTGCTGTAGTGAAAGGCTGGGTTCCTGACGGGCTTCTCCATGTCCTGCTCTCCGTCGGAGCCTGTATGCACTGAGGAGTTGGTGCTCATGGGAGAGCGTGGCATCTCCGTCATGGACACCCTCCTGCCCATCCCACTCGAACTCTTACTTAGGACCATTTTAGGTGACGCAGTAGTATCAAAGTTCAACCGGAGTTTATCTGGCTTCTCAATTTTAACCGTTCCACTGCTGGGGTTATTGGGGTCCAGCAGCATCTGGAGCTGATTGTTTGGGGTGTATGGAGTTCTGAAAGGTGCGTAGTTGAAAACTCCAAATTTCTTGCGAATGTTTTCGACGTACACCTCCATCTCCTGCATGGCACTGTTGAAAATACTCTTTGTCTTCTTCACAGAAAACGGGATTTCTTTAGACATCAGGTAGCAGTTATTGATTGGAACCCAAGCTCTACAATGATGTATAAAACAGAGATGATTAAGTGTACACTTTTTTGTTGTTGCATGAGGTTCTGCCAAAGAAAATCTGTATTTACCGATCATGTTGTCCAAAGAATCGAGCATCGACCTGACCGTCCTTTTCTCTGAGTGCTTTAGCTGGCCAAAAGGGGAAACCTTTTAACTTGGCCCACACCAAAGGATGAGGTTGACTCTAAAAAGTGCATTTAACATTATAATATAAAACATTTGTAAATTTGACGGTGGGGGATTTAAATACTTACACATGGTTCACAAAACCAGTTTTCACGTTTCTGACACGAAGACAAGTAACACTCTGGACACACTTCAATCTCATTCATCTGGAAAGAGTTTATATAAAATAAAAATAAAAAACTGACAGAACATAAAGAACTACTATACCTCATGTTCACAAATCTTTACTATAACTTTTGCAGTTGCTGTTAATTTATGATTAGCTGGAATTAGAAAGAAAAAATATGAAGATACATTCTTTATTGGCAAGATAAATGAAATCAGAATTACAAATGTTACCTCCGTTATAAATAATGCAGTTGTGTAATATCCATTTCATATCAGCAAGAAAGGCTTCAGTGCAGCCATACATTTTCTTTTTTATATTCTGATAAAAGACACAAACAAACACATTATTTGAATTATTTATGTTTGTATGCTTATGGGGCCTTCCTAATTTAATGGGACATGTTTTACCTTTTCTAAGGTGCACAGGTCCATGGCGTGAAATATGTACTCTGCATAATCTGGATGTTGTTCCAGAGACACAGGTTTATGAAAAGGCTCAGTCTGCATCAAGACAAACAGTCTGTTATGTTAAATGTTAATGTATGTTTATTCTAAATGGATCCATTTGTGCAACATGTCCGGAAAGAACTGTATGTTGGCCAAACTTACCCCAGGCTGTTTAATCTTCTGAAGTGCAAATTTCAGCAAATACGAGAGTTGGTCGATGTTCAACATTGTCATTGCTTTGCTTTGCGTTTCAATGCATTCAGCAACCGTTATTTTCTGCAACGCATATTTTAGCAAAGAGAAAAATATGTTAAATGAATGAACACCGCTTTTGAAAAATAATTTTTGGAGATTGACTGGTTTGATTCAAACTGACTAATTATTTGCCCGCTATTCTATGATTAATCTCAGCAGGTGCTGCAGTCTGACACACGACATGCACACGCAGAGAGATACCTCACATTCTGGGCAGAACCAGTCGCCCTCAGGCTCAGCGGGCAGTTTGAGGCACTTGGCGTGGTACACCCTGGGGCAGAGCTCACAGCAGAGCACCTGGCCCTCGCGGTGGCACAGCCAGCAGTAGAAGTCGTTCCTGCCGTCCTGCGGTACAACATCAACAGGGTCTGTGGTGAGTGCTGGCTGCTTCATATAGTAAAAGGGACCATGTCTTAGCTCTGACTGAAATGCAGGCAAGAGAAAAAGGGGGTAGGTTTCAAAAACACGCAAACACAAAAGGTGCAGTGCAACAAAAACAAAGCAGTGTGAAGTGGGACAGGCAAGGGAAGCAGCAGGAGGCTTGCTGGTGTCCACTGCCCAGCACAATTTAACTTACCACCTGCAAATGTCATGATGGTTAAAACAGCTGTATGGTGCATTCAATATCATGTGATTTATGTGCATGGTTAATTTATCTCATTTTAAGATTAACCTTGTTTAAAGGAGAATGAGTCTAAACCACGCTATTGATTCTTTTAGTAACAGGCAGATGTTTCCTTAAGACTTTGACCATATAACTCAAGAGTACAATGGTGCAATGTCTAGTGTTAATGTAACCTTTACGTTATGAAACTATTAAAATAAAAAAATAATAAAGTAAGTATTAATGAGAAATATTTCATAAATCATTTACTAAAGGAATTATAATTAAGCAATGCATGGGGGTGTAATTATCTAAACTTTTTTATAACAGAGGCGTGAGATCATTATTGTGTTAATTGAACAAGTTTTCTACACACTGAAACCTGTAAATGGAAAACATTTTATACTTTTATTTTTATTTCCATCTCCTGCCCCTGTGACAGGGTATTTTCCATACAAAATGTGAAATATGTTAGAAGCACTGAGACTCCTTCTCTGTCACTTACCTGGTCTTTGCTACTGTTGTTAACAGCACCAGGCTTTTTCTTCTTCTTGTGGGGGCTGGGCGATGTGTCAGAGGGAGAGTGCCCATTGGAGGAGTGAGTAGGACTAGAGATTTTTCTTTTCTGAGGGGCAGCTCCTGGTGGATCCAGGACTGGAAAATGAAAACAGGTTCTATTTATACAATACCAAAATATATGCCTATTCATTAACATTTCAATGCTTGGAATAGATTTATGCAATATTTAATGTTCTGTTTAACCAGTGAAAATGACTAGATTCATTATTCAATATGTGAAGAGTGTGTTGTTAGAAACAATCATTGACCCTCATACATGATCTTGAATACCTTCACGTTGACTTTTCATGCTTTAGAACCTGAAATATATTATTGACGAGACACATCCTTCATTTCAGCTCCGTCTCTCGCAAATTGGTGCGAGACACCGCCCTCTACTGTTGACAGTTGGCATCACACCATGAAAGAAAAGAATGAAAACTAGAACGTGCACTCGAGGATCAATCCCATGACACGTATCTAGACACAGGAGACTTTCGATTTGATAGGATACATTTCATGTGATACAACTCGGAAAATCATAAGGGCCTTTGGCCACTAGTCTAATGCTCCACCCAATTTTAACAAAAATCCAACACTTTTGGCGCTTTAGTAGTGAAGATTAGCACACCCCTTCACAACAACAAAGAACAGAACATTTTTCCAAGAACATTGGGCCGTCTGTTCCTTTCAGACTGAATGTCACAGGCGTACAACCGTAGCAGGAAATAGCAGAAGACAAAAAAACAGTTTTGTAGCCTGTTGTCAACATGTGGGTCAGGTGAAGAAGGCAATAAAACTACATACTTTGCATAAGCATGAGTGGTGTTATGGTCAAAGTTTAGATTGTTGCACATGCTGCGCTTTCCTACACATGTCGTCCTTGTAAAACATTTGTTGGAAAGAGTATATTATTGCTCTATGTTGATGATAAACTTGCCATACTTGAAGTTTGTTTTGATCCGTTCCTGTCTTTTCCATGCTTAAGAGTCGTCACGGATCCAAACAACACACCGGACTCTCACAATGCAAGACCTGGCTGTAAATGTCAGGTCTACAATATGAAAATATGTTGCCTTTTGGCAAAAATGTCATATGGAAACAGTGTGAAGATTGACCTTACATGACATTGGCTGGAATTGGTGCGTGTTCCCTTCACTGTGAGCAGGACCTCGATGCTCTGCACAAATCTGGGGCCTCCTTTACAAAACTTTATAAAATGTGCGTAACACTTTTTAGTAAAAGGGCCACTTAAGTTCTCCAAAATTGTCTTTGGGCCAAATGGGATCGGCTGGATTTGGTTTGTTCTGGGCTTTAAAATGAGGTATGACATGTCTATATTTGGTTTACATTTGACAAAGCTGAACGACAAAGGTTAACTCCCTCAGCTTCATTAGCGTTTTACAATTAAAAATAAATTACATTCGAAAAAAGTCAATAGAGCAGAAACGATTCTTCGAGTAACTCCAGTAATTAGAGTACAAAAAATATTTGAGTAATTTCCACTGCCTCGAGGCTTGGTATAGTTTGCCTAAAACGTAGTCAACGCTCATGTTTCGCACGGATTCGTTATGTGTTGCAAAACGAGTTTGCGTCACAGATATATACATGCCTTGCACTACACCGCGTCTTTTAAATTAGGGCTGGGCAATACATAAAATTTAGGCAATTAATCGGCTTTAGAAAACCGGGAAATTGAATAAAGGATATTGTGAGAGTTCCAGCAGCACATGAATTATACTTGCAATACCAGCACAGTCTGTACAAGACTTTTATAATACGTATTGGGGAAACAAATTAAAAGTAGTTTTGAAACTTGAATATTGAGCGGAAATATCAACAAATATTTTTGAGGGCAAAGTTTGTCTTCGATTACTTTAATGAAAGTCGATTTAAAATCAAAATTGTCCAAAGCAGGAAATAAAAGAGATTATACTTTTTTGCCATATCGCCCAGCCCTATTTTAAATTTTGGTTATGTTTGTAAAACGTTTTCACCTACATGGCTCCATAGACTGTACATAGCTCACAATGGAAGACCACGCATAAACCACTGGGCAAGAGCAACAGCAAAACAGGGGAATTAATAAGTGTCAAAAGATGTCCAAAGTGTGGGAGCTTCACAATGAGGGATAACTGCCTATGTTGGCAGAGCTGAAGTTGGCTGAATGACACTGTAAACTTGCATTTATGGTTACAAAAGGCAGAAGGCCACATACGCTGACAGAGGGCGGGAATTGTCCCCCGGGCCATAATTTGCGTGTTCAAAGTGTACACTTGCTTCATGGCATCGTCAACATGGTGATCCAGTGTTTACGGAAAGTTTCTACCAAAACCTCAAATATCTTCATAAGAAGCACGCAACAGAAAAGTTACATTATGATGTATTTTTTTATATTCAATGTGATGAAAAAATGTCCAATATGTGGCACACTATGATATTCAAATGTAATGTAATGTAAAAAATATGAACTAGCTCTTTTACATTCTCCCTGAATCTTACCCAGTCGGTATCATCAACATTTTACTGTTGACGCTTGATGTCAATCTGCGGGGCCTCACATGGCACTTCCAAGAGAAACCACCACACATGTCACACCAGCTCAATCAGTATTCTGACATATTTCACATTCATGACATCCCTCCAAAGTCAGCATTAATAAACATATATTTACATCAATAAATGTTGCCTTCCCCCACATCACCTAAACGGGCCTTGTATGTTAAGATTGAAACCCAGAGAGTGCTGGCTGTGCTTTTCCATGTACTGTTTCCATGTAAAATCCACTCTTATTTGAACCCAGTGGCCTCTCTCACTATATGACTGTATTCATATCACAAATCCACAGCATACAGGCCTAGAAACCTGAAACCTCTCAAGAAAACACTAAACAAGGGCTACAAACCTGAAACCTCATCACTACACAATGCTTGATATGAATGTACGCACAATCGGCCTTAGACTTACCTTTAGGTCGTGTTGACGCATCCATCCCTTCTACCACATCAGCCTCTGTCTTTATCTCCTCCTCAGCCAGACTGCAGAGAGCCGCACGCGAACGCCAGCAGAAGGAACAGGGAAAGAGAGGGAACAGTCAGGAAAGGTGCTCATAAAACCACACATCGGCATAAACAAGTGAACCTCCACCTCAGGCACCCGACTAACTCCCCCAGGGTGAGACAACTGGGACCTGGCCGTATACACAGCCACCAGCAAACCCAACAATTAGAGCTTTTACAAAATACCCTGGAAACCAATCGATGCAAACCTCATATTGAACATTAGATACTTGTTTGGACGAGTATTCAAAATCACAAAATAATAATGATTCAAGTCGACCATTTTGAGTCACACCGCAATTAAGAAGAAATGGTTTTTTGACTTGAAATTCTATTGAGTTTTAACTGGCAAGATTATTTTTGGCTAAAATCGTAAATGAGCAATTATCCATGGAAAGAAAAATGCATAAGCTATTTGAAACCTAGTATATATATTTCTTAATTAGGCTAAGATTTGCTACAATGTTGCCTACATACATATAAAAAGCTTCCTGTTGGGCCACTTTTTCACATTACAAAAATGTTTTTTCTATCTCAAACCCATGAATGCCATAATGCTTGTAGAGTTGTCCATCTGCTCAGGAACTGCAGATAAGAACCAGCTATCCAATTCTGTAAGACCTTTTCCAATTGTATGCCCCACATGTGAAATTGTTTTCAACAAACAAATGACTAAAGATTGCATTATTTTACCATGTTTTTCATTCACTCTTTACTGCAGACCGTGATAATCTGCTTAGCTACATGTAAGACAACGGGACTAATCACCATGGCAACATTCCTCTCTGCCAAGTACATGTTGAACAGTACGTCGAGTCACTGAAGAGGCTGCGGCCTGCATATTTCTGCTGAATTTTTTGGAAACGGTTTGGGAAAAATATCTAATTGGGGGATTTTGACAAGTGTTGCAAATGCTTTTCGACTCCCTATCAAGATACAGTTTTCAGAGCGCATTCAAACATGTCCAGGAGCCTGACAGCTGAAGACTGACATGGTACAAGACAATGTTTTAAATGTGTAAAGTTTAAAGTACAGCGTTAGCGTGTTTTAGGCGTTAAACAACATTGGAATATCTTGTAGATATTTTAAGAAACTGCCCAATTGTGTGCAGTGCCAATAATTCAACATTTGCAGCCACTGAAATCCCATATCTTTGACGACCAAGTTGTGCAATTATAACATGTTGGATTTGATGTTATTTTGAGGAAGGGTCCAGGATCGACTAACGATACCATTAAAACCATAGGGAATTGGTTCATTGTATTCATGCATTCTGGTCGCACTCAAGCCCCTTCTCTGACAACCGGGAAACCCCAAAGGCTTTGAAACACACAAAGATCAACCAACCACACAGCCACCATATTCTGTTGGAGACAAAATAACTAAATGCATGCTAAAATTAATGTTAATTCTCCAAATTCACTTTTCTCAAAAGTATTCAAGATTGGTAAAGGCAGCCCTTTTTTCCTTCTAATAATACACACTCAATTATTCCGTATTCAACTCAAACCTCTCTAAGTAGAACATGTGGTGTATAAAAACTGATTACAGTTTAGTTACACTCAGCTGTCATCTAGATGACAGGAAGTGCCTGAGAGAAGGACTACGTGAGTAAAAGTGGCTGTGCTGGAGCTTAAAGCATTGAATCCCAATCTCAATCTAAAGATCTACTCAAAACGGCAGATCCCACACGATTAAATCAGTACCTTTAATCAAACTGCACCCAGCCTCACTGCAATGGCAGTCACCAAAATCACTCCTATGTGAGCAGACTTCATTTTTAAAGAAAATTGGTAGTTTTCTCTCCATTTTCATATTCGAACCTATTGGTCTATTATTTGGTTAAATTAAACATCTATGATATATAAGAAGTTTAATTTAACCAAATAATAGACCAATAGGTTCAAATATGAAAATCTATGATATACAGGAAAGCTAATTTCTTACTTCTGTTTCAGCCATTCGTGTACATATCGCAATAGTTTTGAAATATTGCGTTAGATTACTTAAATAACCGATACCTGCTTTATGCAAGATCTATAAAAATCCATTAGGAATCCCTATAGCTGAAAAGCAGCCATTTAATCATTTTTGCAAATATTAAGACTTTGCAGCATCTGTCAATCAAATCAACGAATAAAGAGCTCTATTTGTTTTCCCCTTTAAAATTTGGAAGGAATAAAGCATGTTTGGTGATAAATGCAGCCTGTTTGAATCAGTGACTCCTCCTTTGTCAGAAGAGCACTGGGCCTCATTCTAAGCATGTCTTCTTTATCCCCCACGGCCAGACCCCGAAACCCCCGCTAAGGACCCCTGACAGGTCACTGCTCTCGGCCTGGTCAAAGCTCTGGATCTCCTCCCAGGAAGATGGTTTTACAGGCCCCTCATCAAAGGTCACGCACATTTGTAGGATAAGCCTGTTTCTTTCCTTCTTCTCCAAGTGAAAGACGAGCCATGCCCCCTCCATACGCACACATTCCCCTCAAACATGATCAAATGTTGCCTCGCTGATAAGCAACAACCAAGGCTGCAAGACTGATATGACGAATGAAGAATGAAACCTTCTAAACAGAAACAATGGCAAATACAGACAGGGGATGATGACCTTTCCCAGATTGGAGCGTGTGGCAAGTTTATTCCCATAGAGGCTAGAAATATCTAGTTAATGCTGAATCAACTTGGTTAGAGGAGTGAAAAGGTTAATTATGCCACAATATCTATTCAGCAAACAAAAAAGGTGCACGCAAACAACATCATTTTGCTCAATTCAACACTGCATTGAATCTCCAAAACTTCTGCCTACATACAACTCCTACCAACCCGTCCTACACATACATTGCCTGAAGATATAACTCATTTGACTTCAATCTGTTCGTACCAGCAAAATGGTTTCCAAGAGGTTTCAGTGTACAAGTAGACAAAAGGATATCTCCTTACAGCCTGCTGCTCGAAATCCCACACACAACTCCTCTGGGCAGGGCCTTCCTGTCCCAGACACAGAGCAAAAAACATGGCCCACATGACGAAGATATTAAGCCAAGTTGCTTAGCTGTGTGCACGAGAACACTACCAGAGCACATATTTGCAGGCATGAATGTGTTCGTACCCAAAGTTAAAACACTGATACGCTAACAAGAAGCCAGGATGACCAGGATGTTCTTCTCATGTCAAGATTTGAAGCCGTTTCCCATCCCACAAGGAAGGTTTGGCAAATATATCCTCAGGAAATTATGAGACGTATCCAGGAAGGCCCAGGATCAAGAAAACAGTGTCTGCGTTGGTCCCTGGCAGCAGCAGCAGTACCTGATGGGCAAAAAGGAAGCAGCACTCTCCTCTTGAGAGAGAAGAGAGGAGCAGGCTTCTCCCGTCACAGAAAATGGAGGCCACAGAGCGCTCCCTTCCCCCTCCTCTCCCCCATCCCCCACTGCAGCTCACTCACAGGCACTGGCACATTCACACACAACGATCCCAGACATCTGTGGACAGGACAATCTCGCATTAAAATACAAAATATACATCAGCAGCAGTGTTCCAAGGACGAAACAGCCAACATGAGAGTGTGTTTGAGGCTTGCTTTGGTTCTGGAGTGTTAGTAGGAATGAATAGTATAGAATATTAGCATTTATGTCATAGTGTGTACATTTACTGTTGGAAATAGCACACCATTTCGCAAAGATAAGAATATCACATAGGGGCAAATCAATGAAGAGGCTGAAATATAATAGAAAAGAGTCATCCTGATTATTTTGTTTGGTTCTTTGTTCTTGCTGAAGCATGCATCAGATTTCTGGTTTGGGAGGTTTGTCAACAATTTCATGTTCAAACAAAATAAACCTAAGCTGCATAGAAAACATGGTCACAATAGAGAACCTTTTTGAATATGTTGGTATTTATCTATCCTGCTCAAATGAAAGAAGCCTCAAAACAAGACGCCGTATTGTAATCCATTGAGAATCAAACGCAGTATTTGAAACAACATGAAAATACCAATAAATACCTCAAAATACTTGTTTTGGTATTTTGAGAAGTGGAGTTTGACCTTTATCAGCATGCAACTCACCACGTTGCAGACTGTCTAACTGAGGGTAAACACTACAATAACCGATTGCGTCAGACTCTGAGAAACCACCACAGCATTACATAGATTTTATGCTAAATTAACATGTCTTGTCCAAATTGGACGGTCAAGACAGACAGTTGCTAGTGAAATTATCCTGTAAAACAACTATTTTTCGTCAATTAAAACAGTTGTTTTTTTGAGTCTATCTATCTATCTTTTTTAATTTTGTTCCATAATTTCTTAAATCCGGCAAACTGACAGCTGATGAAAATAAGATCGAATCAGAGCACTAAGACAGAGGCAGGTGTACAATTCCATTTGATGTGAAATGACAATGAACTAAAAGTATATGTAACAAATACTTAACCCTGAGTCAATCCAACTGTCACTGCTCACAGATTATTCCTACAGACAAAAAAGGTTTGACCAGGATTGCGATCAAGCTGAATCAAAGATGGCTGTGGAATTTTCCAGAAGGCCTCTGCGTCCTGCTCTCTCCCTGATTGTCAATCTTTAACCCCGAGTGCAGCTGCCATTGGCTGGGAGGCCATAAGGGTGGGAAGCGATTGGTCGAGTGCGCAGTGCCACATGGATCTCAGTATGTGCACCTCTCTTCCTCTTAAAAACATTTTGCTGCAATGCAGAGATTTCCCCTGCATCACAGCTGTGTTAGACTTTACTAAAGCATGTCTATTTTTGTTTTTGTTGCCCCGGCTGACCTCTATGGGGAAACTGTAACCATGGTGGTGGTGTAAACAAAATCAGTCAACCTTGATCTCACTGGAAACTTCCATTTTTACATTTACTTTAGTTGGTAACTTGCAAATTGACTGCAAGAGCTTTGATCAACGCAGCTTCTGTTGAACAGATGAACTGAACAATGGAAAACAGAGGTGCAAGAGACACGCATCACGTTACACAATTTGGCCTAGCTAGAGGTATAGATGACGATGCAATTTCTCAAGTTCTAAATCTTGTTGCAAAATAGATGCAGTTGAGCAGCTTTCTTTTCCAGTGTAATTACTGGGAATTAACATGTGTCCGTTTGAAACATGATCAAACTGGTTATGTAATTCTGTACAATAAAAATGGGAATGTTAGAGCAGCTGCTTGTTCCCGGGCTCATGTTGTTTGAATCCAGTTTCTCCCTGGTACTTCTGTGTGCTGTGTGAGAGTGTTATTTGCTGCAGACAAAATGGCCACTGAGAGCAGAGCAGAGAGGAAGCAGTTTCACAAGAGTCCATAAATGCTTTTGGCCTGTACTAAAGGATTACACCACATTTTCCTCAGTCTTATGGTGATCTGATAAAAAAAAACACACAAAACAATTACATTTGTTTTGAGTTTACAAAGATATAAAAAGAATATACCACATTTACCAAACTTATAAAAATAACTGGTGTTTTCCAAATCTTTTTCTTGACCTGAAACCTGAATGAAACCCACGGCCAACTACTTACAAAGGGTACATACATAATACCCCTCCTGTGCATCCACTGCCCATCCCCCATTCATTCTCTGCCAGGCTCCTGAACCAACCAGGCACAACTGCAAGAACAGTGGGTACAAATCTTAATTCTCAATATCCTTTGCACTACAAAACAATAAAAGGATTTGCCATGGTGCAGATTGTGTTTCTTGTAATGATTGCTGGTAGTGGGGGGGCACTCATATGACCCTGAGTTTGACAGAAAGAGCAAAGGGGGGCAAGGGTGAGAGGAGTTGCCCAACCCCCCACTGCAGCAAAGGCCTAACAACTGAGGCCTCCACCAGTCAGCTCCTCCTTTTTCAGCACTACTAAAGTCATTTTAAGGTGTGGAACGTAGTCACTGCATGCTCACAATACTCAGGTTATTGTTATTATAGGAGCTGAGAGAATGAAAAAGTCATAGCTTACCTTTGTGGATGCATGGCACACTTGTTATATCAACACTTATAAAACATGGAGGACACTCAGGAAGGCTCTGCTCTTCAGGCAAGGCGATCGGCCCGCAGATGTTAAGCCGGATCTGATTGGCTACTCCGCTGACGGACAGGATCTGAGCCGGCGTCGGATTGGTTGAAATATTTCCTGAGTAATTATCTTTGTTCAGAGCAGACAGGGGCAGAAGCACTGTGAGAGTGGAGGAACAGGAGTAAGGAATACATGGAAAGACTGACCCAAAATACAAAATGTACAAGCAGATTGAGTCGTTTTGGCATACGTACCACATTCACAGACGCGGGGAGGAGAAGTATTGCGTTACTAAGACGAGGAAATGGCTTTGGCTGCACGGCTCAAGCCTCCATTTTTGCTCTGGGCCTTGGGGAAGCTCCTCCTCCCGCTCAGCTGTAGAAAAGGCAACAGAGTTCATGCTTAACAAACAGCATTCAGGCCTAGACTCAACATTCAAGAATGGTGTTCAGGTTACTAAACCCACACATTATTTGCACCAATTATGATACTTATGAGCCATCCCTTATTGGTAAATATCTTTGAATGTAAAACTGTATTCTATAGTCTTTAGTGCAAATGTATACACTGGTAACATCTTTGTGCTTTCTTTGAACATATGTTAATATGGATATTGGCTATATATTCAATTTTCCTCACCACAAACAATGAAAGCAGCTCACATTTGACCAGCTAATGTTAATCTACCTAATGTTTTGCGCTGTATCTTTTGAATAATAGAAATAGCAAAACGGTTGAGTTGCCAGATAGCAGTAAAATTATATTTCATTACTAATTTTCACTGTTTGCTTTGTCGGAAAAGGTTATCCCAACTCCTTGCCATATCATAATTGATATTCATTACAATAATATTTGATGTAGTTCAAACTACATCAAGGCTACTAAACCGTATTGATACCACAATTAAACAAATATGTTGATAATAAATATTGGCCAAGTAAACTCTTATTACATATATATTTTAATTACATTTAAATCATTAGGTCTTAATACCAGTTTCATCTTGCCCCAAAGAGTTACCTCTTGTTTCATCATTACAACGCATATGTGTAGCTCTGGGTGTAAATATTGTTCAGGCAAACCTGCGAATCCATTTAGCTGTAAACCTCAAGGAGAAATGCTCTGCTGTGTCATAATAAAAGCCACTTTATCAACTGTGTCAATAATAGTCAACAATGTAATGCTGCCCCCTGCTGTTGTAAAACTGGTATAACAGGATATCTCATAGTTTTCAGTTTTCTCAAAAATAAACCAGGACACCTAATGAAATGTAAAACAAAGCAAGCGTGTAAGATATGTATTTTGTAGAAATATTAAATAAAATTAAGTAAATAATTCCCTTTTAGATGTGAGCCGGACGCACATCATTTATATCTACAGCCTGAGCATTTAGCCTGTTTTATGCTAACACAACCCCATCGCCCAATCAAATGTGATCAAGTGTTTTGTTCGTAAATAACTTAATAACAAATACTGACCTGCTAAAGCCGCTGGTACAACTGCACTAAAATGAGGAGGGACGCGTGTAAAAACATAATAAAACAGCGATCGTTGTCTCCTGTGCGGTGTTGCCTTTTCCTCGTACGTCAAAGCCTCTGGGCGGGTCGTGGATGAATGTGCCCCCTGCCAGGATTCTGGGAACAGCCCCTGGCCCCTCACTCATCAACATGCAAAAACTACAATTCATGATTCAAACCCCTTAATCACACCAGGACTGGGTCTGTATTTTTTTTATTTTTTGTGTGATCTGTTTGCCAAAAAATAAAATACCCCCATCAGGACCTGGAAATGTATAAATCAGGGGTCATAACCTTTTTCGATTGGAGAGCTACTTTTATAAAACATAGAGAGCTTTTCCTTTTTAATTGTAGTCGTGTATATAATAACTGCAGCCAATCATGGAGAACACACATTATCTCTGCATGAAAATATTTATGATCAAAATAGTATTCATGATCATTCTTGGATTCTTTGAGGATAGACACTGCATGTGAAAACCAAATCCCATCAAATATCTTTGGCTAAGCAGGGCAGGGCCTGGTTACTACTGGGATGGGAGACCACTGGGAACATGAGATGCCACAGTGGGGCGGCTGCAGCTGTAAAGTGCCAAACTAAGTAAGTAAGTAATCTTTATTTATATACCGCCTTTCACAGACCAGAGTCACAAAGCGGTTTACATTTGTTATTGTTTTTTTGTTTTGTTCTGTTGTGTCCTTAGGCAAGACACTTCACTCACATTGCCTATGATTCTGGTGTGTGTGTGTGAATGGCTGGTGGTCAGAGGGACAGATGGCACAGACTGGTTGCCTTGCTCCTCAGTGCATGTGCATACAGCGGGGTTACCGTAGTAATTTATCTCCACGTGTATGGAGGGAATTATTAATGACATGTGAAGCATCTTTGAAAAGTGCTCAGATGAACCAATACATTATTATTACCAGAACAGAACAGAACAGAACAGAACAGAGCTCCAGAACCACAAGTTGGAGACTCGTGATACATAATCAAAATAAAGATGTTTCCTTCTTATTTCCAGATAAATCCAACCTTTTGGGATCGACCAGTCCCAGTTACAGGTCCAAACTCAAAAATGAAGAATAGTTAAACAACATGAATAAAAACCTAATGTTGATTTTGAGCAGTTTATGGGATTTCTTTTTCTATGTCCTTATTACACGGTATTGACACCAGCTATGCCCATACTTTACCAAAGAAAGTTTGGACAGACTTTGGAGCTTGATATTTCATTGTGCAGAAATTGTTCCCAGTTATAATTAGAGTCATGAGAGATCAAAACTACAAGGCTTCAGAGCCTATAGCCAAACAGATTCAGTTTTTTGAAGATGTTTTGAAGAAATGTCTTTGTGTGATAAAGAGTTAAGAACACATATTTCACTAAATTGATTTGTTCTGAGCAGTGTTAAAACCGTGCCACCCAATTAATTGGTTAGCACTCTCGCTTCTCAACAAGAATATCCTGGGTTCGAATCGCATCCTGAACAGGGTCAATCTGAGTGGCGTTTGCATATTCTCCCTGGGACTCCGTAGGGTTCCTCCGTGTGCTCCGGTTTCGCCTACCACTAGAAACATGTACAATATAGGAAGATCCTCCAGCTCCGGTCTTGATCAAGCCGAGCATCAACATCTGGAGATAGGTTCCCAGGTGCTGTACTAAAGCAGCCACTGCACCTGAAAGAGATCCTAGTGGCATTAGGATGGGTCAAATGCAGAGAATGAATTGCCCTTCGAGGATAAATAAAGTGCACCTTTACCTTTACCTTTAAAATGTTCTCTCATCAAATAATTTGTCAAAGTTTTATCTAGAGTGTTCTGTGTTGGATACTTGAGAGCTCAGTAAAAAAAGTCAAATGTCACCTACCCCCGATCTCCACCCACTGCTTTTGTAGTTACAGAATACAGGATAATAATGTGTCTCGTTGAGAATGTCGTACATCTATAGTTTCTTTTCTCAATATTATTAGCTTTGATGATGAACAAACCACCTAACATTTCTGTATGTTATGGCTTGGTATGTCTCTAGGGAAATGTAGGGTAATGCAGATCCAGAATAAATACAATATAAATATGTAATACGTGGACAAGTATTGTATATGTTCTTTAAACCTCTGCCATGATTGGTAAATAAAACCCCACAAAGTATTATGAAAAACTCTTATGATGTGAAACAATAAATAAAATGCAGGATGGAACGAAAGAGAGTAAAAATGACGTTTGTATTATTCATAAAAGGGAGAGGGGCTGGCTGGGTGGGCGTGGCCTGCTCGTACTTCAGCAGTGGGTGTAGTGCATGGATGGAGTGGAGCTGCGTGACTACGGTTTGTTTGGCTTCTCTTCATGTCTGATTTCAAGCACATGAGGAGCGATAGTAGCTTTGCACTTTGTCTGCAAACTCACGTCCATCCATCAGTCGCTGAGACCCGAACACCGACCCCCCACAGCGGAAGAGCAGCAGCCGGTGAGAGCTAGCTCCAGCCCCGCGAGTGACAGCCACTGAAGCCCCTGGGGTTGTGGAGGTCTGCTGCCGCTAAACAGGGCCATGGGTTTCCGCAAGAAGAACAAGAGTCCGCCGGTGCTGAGCCATGAGTTTGTCATCCAGAATCACGCGGATATGGTGTCGTGTTTGGCCATGATAATCCTGCTCGGCCTGATGTTTGAGGTGAGGACTGGAGAGCGGTGCTAGTGAGAGAGTGGTTAGCATGGGGTTAGCCGCTGATGCTAACTCCGCTGAGAAGTACAACTAGAGAGCTCATCATCTATCTCAGCCATTCCCAAACTCAGTAACACCGAGGCCCCCTTAACAATCTGACGGGTCTGCGTGGCCCCCCAAAATAATAACCAAGAAGACAACATTAAGAATAGGCTCTTCTGGTTATTTTATTTTGGGGAAATAGCCTCTGCTACAAACATTGTAATACAAAAATGATTACAGTGGATTATTCAAGTCAAATAATGAACACAAATATTTTAATATTACAAACAAAACATTATAAATTTAACATTAAATAATTATATATTTTTTTTATTTATTTTATGACCTCCCGCGGCCCCCCTGCAGTACCCAGGTGGGCCGCGGACCCCACTTTGGGAGACACTGATCTATCTAATTATGAGAACTTACTTTGCTTTAACTAATGCTCTTAATCTACCACAATAACATTAAATAGAGTAATATGGAGAGACAGATGTAAAGTGAATGGCAGGAAACTCTTACATGTTCATTCTCCAACTAATAGCGTGACATGGTAATAATAAAAAGTAACATCTAATATATTGACAAAATCTACTGGGGGGAAAAACATATTTGGAAAACAATCTCCAACTTTCAGTCTAATATTGGACCGCAATGATTTTTATTTCTTCTTTCCATTTCTATTTTATTGAATCCATTGAAATTGGATTGGTTCTAAAACGATTCTTTCAGTTAAACGATCTGAAAAAACAAATAACTAATAACTAATTAATTGACTCGAATCCACTAGTATCCAGTATAAATAACTAGTTAATTTTATGTTTTTTTAATCAAGCTTCAGGGTAAAACATCTAACCTAGCAGATATCTAAATGTATTTTAATTTTCACTCTGTTTGGGACTTGCCTGCTCTTGACAGTGATTTTATAATTGTATTTTTACACAAAACCTCATTTGTTTTGACTTTTCACTGTTTTTATTAAACAATATTTTAAATAGATTTAAGGATGGCTTGTGGAAACTTAACTAGTTTACCCAAATGATTCATGTGATACTAACTTTTCTTTCAGCTCGGATATTGAGCTTGAGAACACATACAAAATATTAACAAAAATATTTAGATTAATCAAGAATAAATCTCAATAAATGATTTGATCCGAAAAGGCCAAATGTAATTTATACCCGTTTACTATGTGTCTGAAGAAGCAGGTAGATTCCATTTAATAAAATAAATAAATAAAGAGATGGTGTCCATTTACAGCAAACTAGTACTGTGTTTCACATGGAAGATTTATATTACATCCTTATTGTCACTAATATCTCAAAAGTAACATAGTAACGGTAACATTAACATTTCTGGTGTTGTACAATCCCAAGATGGCCACCGTCATTGCCATGGCAACTGAATCCCTGAGATCTCTAGCTGATCATGAGACCTGACAGCAGTCCAGTGTGGAGACTGCAGCTAGCATGTCTTTCCTTCTCATGTGTCCTGCTTTTGCTAAAGGAAGTGTGACTGCTACTATTTTCTTTCACAATTCATCTAGTATGTTCTCTTTTAATATGAAGTAAACAAGCTTACACATCGATAATGTTCTGGTGACGCATCCATGTCTTTTCCTTATCATTGCAGGATTAACCTCAATATATAATTTCCTTTGAATATAACTACTTTTTTGATGATGATCAAGTAATTACTATAATTACACAGATTCTTTTTAGTACTCATTGTTTTGTATGCATCGTAAATGCACATCTTCGTAGTTGCTATGATTAGGGTAATCTGTCCATGGAACTGATCTGTTAAGTCTCTGGCTTTCAAAATGTGTAAAGTGTCTTAAATGATTTTAAAATGGCTTGTTTCATTGATCAAAATCGTGGCCATGCAGGTATGCGTTTGAAAAGCCTGATCCTGTCAGATCCCAGTGGCTAAGCAGGACATGGCCTGGTTACTTCTGTGATCTCTGCATACTTGTGGGTGTGTTTGTGTGTGTTTACTGATGGAAGTGAGGCTAGTTGCCTCATACTCTTGTTCCCGTTTAAGAACCATGGTGTAGCCAGACAAATGTTTTGATGATAAATAAAATATTTATCTTGATACTAAACAACGGTGATATGAGGACATAACCTGATTGTAGTTTGGCTCAAAATCAAACTAACTTTATATCCTTCTTGTCTTTTTACAGGTTACGGCAAAGTTTGCCATAATGTTCATCACAGTTCAGTATAATGTAACAGAAGTTCAAGGTAAGGTATTTTATAAATGTGTTGTATTATTGATGTTGTAATAATATGTTCTTATCTTTTCAGACGAGAAGCAGGAAGCAGTTAATCTTTACCAGTATGGGCCGAAAGATGTGGCGACTGTGTTCTTCTACCTTCTGATCGGAGTCATTCTTCATGCTTTGATACAAGAATATATTCTGGATGTAAGTATACACAGTGCTGTAGGTGGAGATTTTTTTTACGCAATGTTGCATTTATTTTCTTTTTGTCATCAGAAAATAAACAGGAGATTGCACCTGTCAAAAACGAAACACAGTAAGTTCAACGAGTCTGGACAGCTTGCTGCGTTTTATCTCTTCTCCTTCATCTGGGGTTGCAGCATCCTCACAGCGGTACGATCTTATCCGACCTTCCACTTCACAACTACTTAGACTAATCTTGTGTATATGCATCTCTTACAGGAGGACTTTGCCACAAACCCAACCTTTCTGTGGGAAGGGTACCCTCACACCCGCATGGTGTAAGTATATCCTCACAACATCTTCAAACGTTTAAATAATATCTTCACATTGATCGTAGCATAACATTTTATTTTTCTTTAGTTTTCAGGTCAAGTTCTTTTACATTTGCCAAATAGCCTATTGGCTTCATGCACTGCCAGAGCTATATTTTCAAAAAATAAGAAAGGTAAATGCATTGAAAAAACTAGCTTTTTGAAGTGAAGTTACAATAACATGAGCTCATTGAATGTTCTTCCACAGGAGGACATCCCGCGGCAGCTCTACTACATCTGCCTTTACGTCGTCCACATCAGCGGTGCCTATGTTCTCAAGTGAGTGAGTTTGATCTGAAGAACCGCACTACATCGTGTTTAACAAACGCTGTGTTCAGCCTTCACAGACTCGGCCTGGTGTTACTCGTCCCTCACTACCTGGTGGAGCTTCTCTTTCACGCCTCACGCCTCTTTTACTTCAGCGATGAAAACAAGCAGAAAGGGTAATGAACATAGAATTCTGTCGTTCAGTTATCCCTTTATTAACTAATGCTTCGTGAATGTGTTTTATTTTATAGTTTTACGCTGTGGGCTCTTCTCTTTGTCATCGCTCGTCTGCTCACGCTGACACTGTCTGTTCTGACTTTTGGTTTTGGACTTCCCCGGACAGAAAACCAGGGCTTCTCTTTTGCAGAAGGAAACTTTAATGTACTCACCATAAGGTAGGTCTCGCAGAAATAAATAACATTTATTACTGTCTATACTTCCTTTTTCAGGTCTCCTCAGTTTCTCTTTGAATGTGTCTTCTGTCTTTAGGATGACTTGTTTGGCAGCCATATGTCTGACACAGGCCTGGATGATGTGGAAATTTATCAACTTTCAGCTGAAGAAATGGCGAGAGCACAGTCAGAATCAGGCTTCAAAGAAGAAAGCAGTCAGCCCAAAGAGCAAGCCCCCCAAACGAGAGGCCACACGAGGTACGTGGCGACCGCTGATCCAGGCACATGTTTCAACTGCTTGCTGAGTAATTTGTTATTGTTCGTGCTTCTTTTCAGGAGGCTCGGCAAATGGAGTCGTAAAGTCGGATGAAAAAATGTCACCACGAGCCAGAAAAGCCAAAGCTTCATAGTTGGAGGATTTCATTATATGTGTCGTGTGATGATGTCATTACAAAACATTATTTTTAAAGTCTCTAAAACGAATAGTGCACAAATAAATATTTCGTCTACTTTGGGCGAGACTCCTTGGGAGAGTCATCAGTGTTACTGCGTAAAAAGATTATTGTCTGCAGAGGTGAGGCATAGCAGGGAACCATTGGTTTTGATGCTTTAACCAGTAGATTTTTCTCTTCAAAGTGTCCTTCACTTAAAACTACTCTCACTGTCGAGTGCTTTCAACTTAACTCCTTGAGTAATTCGACTTTGATTGGACCGAAAGTTTCTCTGCAAACCGTAAACGTCCGAGCCACGATTCAGAAATCAGGGCCTTAGTCATAGACCACACACGTTGGCGTTGACCCAAATCAAAGCGTGTGGGATTATCTGGTTACACTGCGATGACAGACTTCTTGAGAGCCTTTGAAATCCTCTCTGCGGATGGAGGCCCTTCACTTCAGATCTGATCGTTGCCCTGCTGTTAGTCGGACTCTGTGTGTCCAGGCTCATTTTGTATGAGAACTGTCTGTGATGCTGTACTGAATGCATACAGCCAACCCTTTATAATGGCATGAACGGCACCTGAGCAAGTAGCCGTGTCGGGGCTGAACTACCGTCGATGCATGAAGGTTTGAGGCTGATCTTTTGGCTCCTACTACACGGTGTTTGCATCCCTCGCGTTCGGGACACAGCCGAACTCCTATACTCACACTAGCATTAAGTGGCCTTTTCGAACTGCTGCAAGAGGTTATTTATTTTACTCATTTTAAAAGTTATTTTCTATGCTATATTCTGAACTATAACCAGCAACACAGTGCTACAAATGCGGTCAGTTAAATCCAATCTTTATTCAAGTGTCCTTACAACGTCAGTCATTTGTAAAGATGTCTTGGTTGTGTTCTGTGGTGTCCAGGGTACGAGCTTCATCCCATTTTAACAGAACGTGGGCTATGTGTGAATGTTGTACGCTTGTTTATTGCGTTTGTGTCCAATATGGTTTTGCCTGCTGTCATGAATCAACTCTGGACACTGATTATGACAATGACAACCGTGTTTATATCTCGTGCAAGCAAGCATGACGTGTGACAATCTTTATCTCTGGTTGTTGGACGTGTTTCGGTCTCGTCTGTTGAGAGGTGAGCTCGGCGGGTTGCTAAATGCTTTTGTGCAACTTGTCTCTGATCTAAAAATGCCCTTGGCTGGGAGACTTTTTTTCTTTTTTTGGGGGGCAAATTTGGCGTGTGTCTCGTTGCTTCCACCTTCTCAATGATTGTGACACTGAGTTGGCGGTTTCTGCACCTGTATTGTGAGATGGATCAGGACAGAAGCTGTGGTCTGAATCAGCGTTTCCCCAACTTGTATCGGATTTAAATGAAGGGTGGAGTTAAATGGAGTTTTTTGGTAGAGAAATACAATAAGATCAAAAAATAAAATTGGAAAAACACTAAAAAAAAAGCATGTTTATAATGAGTAAATGGAAACCCTTCAGCGTGAAACAAAGCTTTGGTTGGGGTCCAATTCTTTCAAGTGGATCCACAAATTACTTAAATGTACATATTTAGCTTAATATTTATTTTTTTCAGAGTCTTTGAGGTGTTATTGGAATTCAGACTTTATGCAGTAATGTATCTGGTCCTCAAATGGCCAGTGTGTGGCTGAGAGACCTGAGGAAATAAGGGGGGAGTCTGATGTGCTCCTGTTTGGTTGGAATGAAAACCTGCAGCTACACATCCCTCTCTGGAACTAAAAAGCATGACTATGGTCTATTGTAAAACTAATTGTATGATCATTTGACAGTTTCTGACAAATGGACTTCTAGAAATTCTCTAGTGACAGCACTAATCTGGGCGTGGTTTAAGCTGTTACTAATATATTGAATGAATATACTTTATGTGACGATCATGGGAGACGCTCTCCCTCAGCTGTGCGTGTTTGATCAAATGATATAAGGTTGAATCGTATATAATTGTCTAAACTGTACCAGTATTTATTGGCTGAGGTAAAGCCTACTCAGGACAAATGTTGGGAAAAGCTGGTCTGGAGCAGGAGATATGCCATAGGTCTCATGCAGTTATCTAATTTCTGTCTCGTGTGCAAGTGCAGCAGTGTCACAGGAGGGAGGCTGGAGCAGGGACCACCAGCCGCTCACTAAACCCTACTGTATGTCAGATTTGTAAGCTATTTTTCTAAAGGGGGAGATGTACTTCACTTGTTCTGTAAACCTGTGATGGTTCGTTTTGCATCCATGTTGATATGAACTGTCTTTTTCTTTTTTTTTATAAAAGATCGAAGCTTGCTGGACTGTTAGTGTGGGTCAACAGTGTAGTGTGAGTGTTTCTTCACCTCCTCCATTGCCTTATTATTAAATTATTCTGACTTAAATGTACAGTGCGCTGTTTGTTAGCAGGGCTACACCATAGTATATTCACAAGATACTTTACTAACTCAAAGAAAAATGAATTGCATTTTTTGACGTATTCACACTTATGAGCACTTAACATTTTGCTTTCACTTTTAAATGACATTTTCTTTTTCTGGGTCAAACTAAGGCACTATTCACTGCAAAAACTGAGTGTTGTTGACACCTGTCGTGTTGTATGCTCTGGGTGGGTTTGTTTTCTGTGCTGCTTCAAATCTGTTATTTTTGTCCACAATTTATTTATGCAATTTATGTTTATGTCACTTTTTATTTTATGTTTTAATAAAGCCTTTATTCATGAACCTGACTCAAGCATATTTTTATCAGTATAATGCAGATGAACTCTCCACTAGAGGGCAGCAGACTCTGACAAATGACTGAAGTGCATAATGTACACAGCCTTTATGGTGCATTTGGGTTCGTTTCAGTGCAAATGGTAATCAATTAATTAGGCAAACTAACATTCTTCATACAAAAACCCCTCCATATGGGTGCAGTTGACCTATAGATGACCAAAACAGCGAGTGTATAGAGCCTGGTGAATCAGGGACAACACATGAGTCCTGCAGGGTCAAAGCAAGGACAAGGCACATAAGCAGTTTCAAACAAGACTTCTGATGTACACTAGGGTTTGGGATTTAGCCATTATTTTACATTTTATTTGATGTATTTTTGGGTATAATGGTACAGTACATGTTTGCTGTTTTTAAAATACAACAAATTCTTAAGTAGAAGATGGATATTCACTGATTTAGAGCCTGCCTATGCACCATTTTTATTCAATTGCTGAGTGAGCACTTCAAATGGGATAATTGCATGTGGTTCGGAGGGACAAACATGACATCTGAAAATGGTATTGAAATGTAGTGAACTAAAAGGATATATTATAGGCTCCATGAATCCCAGTCAGGCCAGCGTTGACTCCTCCTCTATTCTATTTATTTACAATTTAATGAGAGAAATTCCAGATTTATTTAATGGGGAAAAAATCAGACTCTCACCACTACACTAAATAATAGTTTTATTAAGCCATTATTACTCCAACCTATTTTGTACTCTTTGGAGTACAAACAAATGCATGACTGGAGCCTTTGTTGAGCCAAGTCCCTGAAGTTTTGGCCTATGATGAATATTTTTTTCTCAGATTTCAAGTGGGAATTATTTTCACAGCAAAATTTCTCTACGTCGTCTACTGTCTGTGGGCTGGGTCTATTTGTAGAAAGATCAATTGTTTTGGTTTTGACAGTTCCCCTTTCACAGCTGAGCAGCATTTCACTGGAAATGATATATTAGTATTAGTATTATTATTATATTTTTTATCGGGACAAGTGTAGACAATCAACATGAAACAGTATAAAATGTATAGCCAAGGCAAATTTGCATTTTTTGGCAGTTTAAGCGTAAAATCACCTTTAATTTTCTAACTAAACTACCTTTTATTAGTGCGTTCCAATTGGTCCAGATTCATCCCAGAATGTTTGTTTACTGGATAAAAGGTGGAAGCATATTTATTTTAATCACATTTCCAGGTGTTTGATGGTTATTTTTAAACAATAATGCGGTGGATTTGAAGAGGTGATAATAAGAACTATGCAAAGGAACGTGCGTGTTTCTCCAAATGAACATGATGCCCATGAATTAAAAATGTTCACATTCGAATTTCTGTTTTTAAAAAGTGAATATATACTTGAATTCAGAATACTTGTTGACAGCCCTACTTCCAATGCCACCACCAGTAGGAGGAGTTGTAAAGTGGATACTTAACTATGAATAATGAAAATAGAATCATCCATATAATGATATAATTTGCTTTTTATTATCAGTGTTTACTTCACACCAAGAGGATTCTACACTTTACTTCAGAGCTGGTTGTGGGACCAGTTTGGAGTCAAGAAATTGTTCTGAAAATGTGATAAAATATGGAAGGTGAAGATTATTTGAAATATTATCAGGAATTCTCAATATGTGGGTCTCCCCGAGGTTTCTCATTTTTTTCCCACTGGGTTTTTCTTATGAGTTTTTCCTTGCCGATGCAGGAGGGTCTGTTGGACAGTTAGTGTCAAACAAGAAGGATGTGGTGATGATCAGGACACTTTAACATTCTACAACATGTAATGGACATTTTTCAACATGTGTTCTACATTCTTTATGTGTCTTAACTGTTGATTCTCTGGTCTGTGTTGGTGATTTCAATGGTTTTGTTAAGTCCTCTGAGATGACTTCTGTTGTGATTTAGGGCTATACAAGAATAAATTGTATTGTATTGTATTGTAATTGACATTTCGAACATTTACTCAACTGATATTTCGGACATTTCTAGATTATTATTTTACTCAAGACTTCATATTAAGCTAAAGTATATGTAGAGTAGCTTTCGTTTTGTTTCATAAATGATGCTTGTTCCAAAAGAAAACGGTTTTGTGAAAATAAAATGATGTGAACGGATCAAAACACAACATTCTGTTTTCATGAACCTGTGAGTCACTAATTGACGCTTTTGGCGAGGAACTAATATTTAGACTCAAAAATATGCTTTAAAATTGTGACAGAGGCAAA